TTTTTTTTTTTTTTTTTTTTTTTTTTTACTGCTGAACTTTGGTTTCTGTGCCTTGACACAGAACTACAGAGAGTGACTGTGTTTAGAACTACTTAGAGAAAAAAGTGAGCTGGTTAGTGGTCCAAATCCAAGCCCCCACAAGCAGCATCGCTGGGAAGGGCTTTCCCTCCACACAGCCAGTGTATTCTGCCCCTCCACACAGCCGAACCGCGCACAGGGGTCAGGCCGAGGCAGCCTGGGGCTGTTACAGATGCTTGATATTTGCTGACAGTTTTTATGTTTTAGCTGCTTCTGATTACGTGTGTGGAAAAGAAAATTTTACACTGTTGACGGTCAAGGAAAGACAGAAATGAAGAGGGTGATCCTCTTGAACGTTTTGAAGGATTTGCAACTCACAGTCTTAGTTTACAGTTGATTTGTTCTGTTTTGGGATGTGCCAGGGCGGCCTCCCTTTGGAATACTGGCGGTAGGAGAAACCAGTCCCTGGCCTTTTGGCATTGTTTCCACTGGGACTTCTCTCTTCCCCTCTGGGGAAATGCATCTGTGTTTGCATTCTGCTTTCCCATTTTCTTCCCTTCTCTCTATTCCTGGTGTGTAGCAACTTGGCCACTTTCCTCCCTCCTCATTCTGACTTGGAACCTCATTTTCTTTTCAGTGGCCCAGTCTCCCAGGAATCAGCCCCTGCCCACGGCCTCCCCCATGAGCTGTCGTGTTTTACTTCATAACAAATGAAAGAAGGCCGAATGAGAGAGCCCCTCACTGGCCCTGCCCTTCGAATTGTGGGGTTTTTTTCTTCCTAAATACTCAGTCTGCACTGTTCCCAAGAACTTGGCCTTAACACAAGAGAGGAGTTGTTTCAAGCAATGAGCTCTGTAGACAAAAGATTCTTTGCTCTGCAACAGCTGCCGGAGAAAATGCCCCAATGGTAGCTCCTTCTATGGACAGTTGTCAAGGGAAGCCAAGGTCTGGGTGCAGCTGGAGGGAAGTTCGGGGGCGGAGGAGTCTCTTCTCTCTGAGGTCTCTCATCTGTTTGTCCTCCTTCTCTCCTCAGATGCTGATAGGTCTTGCTGGCTACCTGAGTGGATATGATGGCACCTTTTTGTTCCAGAAGCCTGGGGACAAATACGAGCATCACAGCTACTTGGGAATGAGAGGAGTAAGGCTTCCTGACTTGCTATTGCCCGACTCAACCCTGGGGCCACACTCAGTCAGAAATGTTACAGTTGGAAGCCCTGGAGTGGTGGCAGGTGTAGATACAGGGACTTTGGTGGGGGAGGATGATTGGACCTGTACCCTGTAGTAGAGATTCAGAGCTGGGGTGGGCAGGAAGGGACAGGGAGGCCACAGATAATACAGCGATGACACAGACAGGAGCAAGCGCACCCTGTCACCTGTTCACCTGGCAACGCGAGGCATCAGATTTCGGATCAGAGGGCAGCCCAGGACTCAGGCAGCCAGGAATCTTCTGCAGTCCCAACATTGGCCTCAGCACATTGGCAGGCTACGCGCCCTTCCCCTGCAGCCACAATTGCTAGGGTGTTGCCTACCTCTGAGGGCCTTTATTAACATTTCAGCATCCCCACACCCTGTCACCAGGTTCTTCTTTCTTTCCCCACGAAGGTGTCAGGCACACAAGGGGTTTTCCAGTCTTTTAAGGGAGGTGTGTGTTTGCCTGGTCCCTCTGTGCTCTGAGTCCCAGCACTAGCCTTGATGGGACATGGCAGGGCCTAAATACCCAACTGTCTGGGGACCTTGTACCTGGAGCTAATAAGACCTGTGGAAACTGTCCTCCAGTGTGGCGCTCTCAGAGCAGGTTGCATTTACAAGCCCCTTTCCTCAAGGAAACTGCTTTATCAAAGCAGTTTAGATAAATGCCATGTGATTACTTGGGCTAATCACTGGCTTGTTTGTGTGGTCATACCATTCCATATTAAACAAGAAGTGTCCACTACCCTCAAGTTCATATTCTTAAATGATTCTGTGTCTTCCTAATGATCTTTGAATACCACATAGCATACATAATTGGATATAGGCCTGACTCACTGTGAACTTGCTATGGAAATGAGAAGGCCAAACATATCAGCCCTGTTCCCTTTCACACTAGAGCACATTGCTTTCTGCTAACAAAAAGTGACAACTGAGAATTTCCATTCCCCTGGGTTTGTCTGATTACTTCTGATGGACAGGGTAGGGGGATGGAGAGAACACTGGTGGTTAAAAACAAAACAAAACTGAAAAACAACCCTCCAGATGCTGAAGTGTCAAGCAGTCTTTTTTCTAAAATCAAAATACAACCTGTAGCTTAAAGAGTGGTTCCTGGTGTGATTGAATAAAAGGACCAAGGGAGAAATAACGGAAATAACATTAGAGTTCTCTAAAATATTAAAACACCTTCAGAGAGGTATTTCTCAACTTGCACCCAGTTTCATAACAGAAGCTATTGTTTATCAAGAGCTTTCTGTGTGGTAACAAACTTTAGCTCATTTAATCTAAAAAGTAAACCCTACGAGGTAGGAACTCTTAAGTTTCACATTACACAGAAGGAGAGGCTGAGATACAGAGACGTGACTTTGTCAAGGTCACAGCTAGCAATGATGGGACGGTCCATTCCCGGAGTCCCCCACTTGAAATCGTGGGCCGTCTTGCCCACACCTCCCTGGCTGAACTTTGCTGATTTCTTGTCAGTGCACAAGTTGGTGCTTAATGGGAACATAAATGTTGCTTGGTTTGATGCTTCACTGTTACACCACCCCTTTCATATTTAAACATATTGAAGGTGATTTTAGGTCACCAGGTCATGCCATCCATCATCAGGGCCCTCCATCTTAAAAGATTAGTTTGTACCAAGCCAAGTAGGTCCCTGATGCTTTGCTTAGTTAGTTATTAGACTGCTTCTCCTGTCCTTCCATAGTTCTGTGCGTTCCTTGGCGCTTTGCTGATCCCCTTTGCCTACTTGACTGTACTGGAGCTGTCCCAGTCCCTCCCGGCAGCGCTGCTCACGGCTGCCCTCCTCACCTTTGGTAAGTTGTCCTAGACCACGTTTCTTGGGATATTGACTGCCACACTGTGAATGTAGCTGGAAATCAATATGCTTAAAGATCCTGTCTACGGGCCCAGTTCTTAAGTAACTTGAGGACTGGGTAAATGTACTACAAGTCTCCTTTTATTCACTAGTAATACTTACATATATAAATACTTATATGTAGCAAGCCTTTATATTTTATTGGAGTGGTGAGTTGGTGTGGGTAATCCCAAGGAATAGATTATCTGCAAGTTATCCACATTTGAGTTTGGAATGGATAACAAGTTTGTGTGTGCTTGTGTGTATGTGTGTGTGTGCGTGTGTGTGTGTTTGAAGGAGGCTTACAGTTCTAATTCTGCTTCTCTTAGGTTACTGTCAAGATTAGTTTGCATTCCTTAAACTAATTTCAACTGAATGCAAAGGTAGATGCCACAGAAGTAGCTGGGTGGCAGAGGATAACAAAATGGGAACTTTATTTCTGTGGATAATTCTCACATGGCTAATTGAGAGTTGATCCATAGAAATTGATCCTGTTTCTAGCCTTGCTCATATGAAAGTGAATTCCTGACCTCATAGAGCTTAATATTTGAAGAAGTCCAGACCAGTTTAGGTGGTTAATTTAGGGGCAATTCTGGCTTTTTGTTTTTTTTTCCTTTGTCTTCGTTGGGTCTTCGTTGCTGCGTGCGGGCTTTCTCTAGTTGCAGTGAGCAGGGACTACTCTTGGTTGTGGTGTGCACGCTTCTCATTGCAGTGGCTTCTGTTGTTGCGGAGCATGGGCTCTAGGCGTGTGGGCTTCAGTAGTTGTATCACACAGGCCTTAGAGTGTGTGGGCTTCAGTAGTTGTGCTGTGTGGGCTCAGTAGTTATGGCTCACAGGCTCTAGGGTGCACGGGCTTCAGTAGTTGTGGTGCATAGGCTTAGCTGCTCTACGGCATGTGAGATCTTCCCGGACCAGGGATCAAACCTGTGTCCCCTGCATTGTCAGGCGGATTCTTAACCACTGCACCACCAGGGAAGTCCCTCTGGCTTTGCTTTGACAGATAATGTTGCAAGACTACAGGGTCTCTTTCTAGAGGACTGGTGGCTTTTCCCTTGGGTCTTTAACTTCCCTCTTCAGTTATTCGTTTTTCATTCCACAACTATTTTCAAGCATCTACTCTGTGCTAAGCCACTTTCTTGGCCTCAGAGGATACGCTGATGAGACACTGCTATCATGGAGCTTGCTCATTAGTGGGGCAGATGATAAATAAGCAAGTAAATTAAGTCTGTAATGTAACACCTTAAGCAATAAGTACAATGTAGAAAATAGGGTAGGGTAAGGGATAGAGTAATGGGGAGTGATTCTGTTTTAGGCAGGGTGGTCTGTGAAGAGCCCCCTGAGGAGGTGGCCTTGAGCAGAGACCTGAGTGAAGCCAAAGATTAAGCCATGCAGAGATCTGAGGGAAGAGTGTTTAGGCAGAGGAAATAGCATGTGCAGTGGTCCTGGTGCAAGGCGGCACTTGGTAGATTCAGGGAACAGCAAGAAGACCAGTGAGGCCAGAGTAGAGTGAGTGAGGCAGAGGGTGTTGGGAGAGGAGGCTGGATAGGTGGGGAGACCATGAAGGCTTTGGTGGCCGTCTTGAGGCTGTCTGAAGGAGCTTGTTAGTCTGAATGAGATGGGAAGACATTGGAGAACTTACGCCAGGCCATGATGTAATGAAATTTTGTTTAAAAAAAAAATCACTTCAGCATCTGCATGGAGAATCAACTCCCAACAGAGACTTCATATGAAATGGTAAGATTCTTTCCTGGGTGTATGTAGTTTGTGGCTGCATAAGCAGCAGAACTCCCTTTTTGATGGTGGAAATTAGCAGGAGCCCTCATCTCAGGATCACTGTATCTGAATGCATGACATGATCCCTTTGTGGGTCAAGGGCCTGGAAGCAGTGTGAGATATTCTTTCATATCATTGGGCTTTGGTGTACCCCAAAGCTGTGGCCTTCCACCTTCCGGATGACTCAGTTGCCCATCTAATCTTGACTGCGCAAATGCAACTAAGCACAAGGGGGACTGTTTCTTACCACTGGGGTGTTTGGTTCTCAGGGGGGCCCATCTCTGATTCCACTTTTTGACCACTGAGCTCATGTTTTTCAGACACAGGATGCCTCACTCTGTCCCAGTACATCCTCCTTGACCCCATCTTGATGTTCTTCATCATGGCTGCCATGCTGAGCATGGTCAAGTACAACTCCTGTGCCAACAGGTCAGAAACACCATCTTTGGGAGGGGGTGTCAGAAGCTGTGGCAGCTCTAGAATTTCTGTAATGGCCAGGGACAGGGTGGGTGTGGTGCTTTGGGCGGGGGGCACCAGAATAGATATTGCCTGGGAACTGTTTGTCTCCCTGCCCTCAGTGGTTGCAGCCAGTCCTGACTTGGTGATGGGAATAAGGTATATAAAGGTTGGCTTGAAGAGTCTACATCAGTCAAGAGGATCCCTGCGGGCCCCAGTCAATTCTAAAGCTGTTCTGGAGGGCCTGGCCTTCTTCCAGAATACTCCCTTCCAGATCATACTTCTGCCTCTGAGAGAGTAGAGTAGGTCATTCATTTTATTCAGACCAAAAGAGCTGGCTCTGCTAAGGCTTTTTCGGAAGTCACCTTGGTTTCGCCACAGCCACGCAGTGACGAGCAGCTCTCTCCGGATTTGGGTTGTCTTCTACTTGCACCACATCCCCTTCCACCTGCCATTTCTGGAATACATACTATGTGCCAGGTACTGTGCCAGGAGCTAGAGGTACAGGAACACATAGGTCTTGGCTGTTCAGGAGCATTTGCTTTGGCAGGGGGTCAGCCAGGGGATGAGGAGACTGCAGCTCAGAGCACCAGGTGATCTAAGTGCAGCAAGCTTGGGAACCGACTGCTGGGCTTAGCACTGTGCTCCCCCGCTGGCTGGCTGTATGACCTCACCTCTCTGTACCTCGAGTCCTCGAGTCCTCATGTGGAAGAAGAGGCTGATGACAGGATCTGCTTCCAGGGGGTTGTAGGGAAGGCTAAAGAGTTAATACGTGTTAAGTGCTTGCAACAGTGCCTAACACATACTAGGCACTCAGTAACTGCTGGCTTTTACAGGGTCCAGAGGTGGCACAAAAGACAGGGCTGACTGAATCCATCAGGCTTCTCTGGATTTTCCTTTTCCTTCCACTTGATTGGTCACCACTGAAGAATAAGCCTCTTGCTTACTTGAAGCCCTGTACTTAGCGAGGAAAGCGATGGCGCTTCTCCCCAGAAGAATCACCTACTGACTCTCACACTGTGCTTCCTGCAGTTTCAGGGGTTTCACAGACCACCTCCTCCTCGGAGCCATGCATGGTCCCTGAGGTTGGGAGCCCTCAAGAGAGAGGCCACAGTGCAGCCTCCAGAGTCAGAGGACCTCTGCCTTCCCCGTTGCTGCTCTTGCTTTTGAGTTTGGTTCCAGCTGCCAAACTGAACTCTGTGCCTTGTTGATTTTCAGGCCCTTCTCTGCCCCCTGGTGGCTCTGGCTCAGCCTGACTGGTGTTAATCTAGCTGGTGCTCTGGGGGTCAAGTTTGTTGGCCTCTTTATCATCCTGCAAGTGGGGTGGAACACCCTTTCAGACCTTTGGCACCTGTTTGGAGACCTCAGTCTTTCAATGGTGAGAACCCAAGTGCTTGTAGAAATGTCTTTGCTCCCCTGCTCCTCGCTTAGCAGAGCCAGTGGTCTTTCTCTGCTTCTGCTGCAGGTGGCAGAACAGCTGTGTTCTGGGCCCGAGGTGGGCTGCATCCGGCTGCCCTCTGTAGGGAGCAGGGCAGCAGGGAGTGGGCCGTGGCTGACAGGCTGGAGCGGTATAAAGAGAGAGGATGGTCTGATATCCTTGGGATTCTCGTTTGGCATTTGTTCCTGCATTGGTTTTTAAATGCTTTGCAAACAACCCAGCCAGGGGATTCTGTCCATCTGGGCTCATGCCAAATGTGTGACAGACACTGACTGCCTGGAACTTGAGGTAAAATTGGTAGACTGACTTCCTGAACTTAAAATTTTCTTTTCCTGACCCAGAGTCTCTGGATCTGGAGGCTGGTAGGGGCCTTATGGTTTATTACAATATTATTTATTAAGAGCTGACTCTGTGTCAGGCAGTATGCAAAATGCTTTACTTTCATCATCTCATTTCCTCCTCATAACAAACCCGTGAGGCGGTAGTTATTACCCTCTTGAAAAATGAGGAAATTGAGACCTAGAGAGGTAATAATGTTCCCAAAGTCATACAGGTAGTAAGAGGTAGATCTAGGATTCAAACAGGCGAGACTGACTCCAGGCCTGAACTATTGATACTTTACTGTAATGCACCTCTGAACCAAAGTCCCAACAAGTTCATTTATTCATTCAGAACATATAGACAGACCATCCGCTAAGTGTGAGACACAGAATATGCAGATGAGTAAAACAAGATTCCTGCCCTCTAGAGACAGTGGAGAGAGAGAAATAAGAAAGAAAGAAAGAAAAGAAAAAATAAGTCATGGTCCAGCCAACAAGGGCTGTGAAAGCACAGAGGAGAGCACAAGCCCAGTCTTAGGCAATCCAGGAAGGCTTCTAGGAGGAAGCTGAGGCCCAAAGTTAAGATAAGGAGCAGTTATCAATGGGATGGGTGGGGCTGGTACAGTGCAAGAAGCATGGGGAAAGTGCAGGGCGTCAGTGTGACTAGGATGGAGAGGGAGTGATGAGTGACGATGCTGAAGATGCAGGCCACACCTTGGCAGTAACGCGGGGACAGCCCGGGGTCCTCGGTGAGGGTCTGGACAGGTGGCGGAGGGCTGGCCCAGGTTCAGCCCCCTGCAGTGCTTGGTTGGTGGGGGTTGTTATGGGAAGGCTTAGGGTTTCCCCATGTCTTTCTTTCTTGATAGCCATTAGTTTTTCAATTGTTTCTGATTATGACTTACACATAAAAACTTACAGATAACACACATGTCACGCATAAGGCAAATAATGCCTCATATGCCCAGCACCCTGCACTGGCTTGGTTTGCAGGTGACTGTGGGAAAACATCTGGCCGCTCGCGTCCTGTGCCTCATAGTGCTGCCGCTGGCTCTCTACACGGCCACCTACGCCGTTCACTTCATGGTGCTGAATAAAAGGTACAGCCAGAGCCTTCCCAGTGTCTCGCTTCTGGTCTTCCTCTTGCCTCTAAGCCTACGGAGGGGCCGTGTGATTTCCTGGGTCTGGTTGTGATGCTCGGAGGGGACCCAGGGTTTTTTTCCTGTCAGTTTCCTCCTATGTTCTATCTTTTGGGTACCCTGGCCTGAAGGAAGAAGAGAATGTTCGAATAGCCAAACTGCCCCTTATCCCTAAACACAGTTCCTTGTGCTTAACAGGGATGGGCCACCATAAGCATGTGCAGTTGGAGTGAGGATAATAATAACAATAACACCAGCAGCAGCTCCCATTTAACAGGTAGTGACTGTGTGTCAGGAACTGTGTTCAGCATTTTATATACGTTATCTCATTTAGTCATAATTCTTTTTTTAAAAAAAATTTTTGGCCGTGCCGCACGGCATGCGGGATCTCAGTTCCCCGACCAGGGATCTAACCCGTGTCCCTTGCATTGTAAGCACAGAGTCTTAACCACTGGACCACCAGGGAAGTCCCATAATAATTCTTTTGATTTTCTTTTTTTAAAATCCCTGATTTATGAATGAAGCATTGAGGCTAAACAGGGCCAGGTATCTTCCAAAGTTCACCTAGCTAGTAAGTGGCCGAGTTGTAATTTGGACCCCAGTTTCTCTGACTCTATCCCCCATATCTGTCCACAATACCACACTGCCACTCTCTTGTACTTCTTTTAAACCAGCTGTGCAGAGCTCTTCCTAGGGCTCCTGGGAAATCACAGTTTCACTCCATTAATTTGGCTGTCTTCTCTCTGCCTTTCCCCGCAGTGGTCCTGGTGATGGCTTCTTCAGTTCTGCCTTCCAGGCCCGGCTTTCAGGAAACAACCTTCACAATGCTTCCATCCCTGAACGTGAGTGTCTCTTGTCCTTTACAAAGGTAGAAGGACAGAAGGGATTCCTGGGAGTTGTATTGGAAAAGATGATATGACAGCCTGAGTTATTTTAGATGGGCGAAGTGGGAGAAAGATCCAGTCAAATCTGGTCCGAGCACTCAAGAGAGTGAATAGGAACACAGGAAGTGCAGAGGAAAATGTCCTGAGCAACGAGCTCTTTGACCCTAAAGAATAACTTGTCCATCTTGGCTGTGGGAAGACCAACAGAGAGAATCTGGTGAAGGAACAAGGCCCTTCAGGGCTAGAGGTCAGTTCCCACCAGAGTATCCTGCTACTCTCATCCATTCACTATTCACACCGGGTAACTGAGCAAGTGTTAGCCACGTCGGAGGCTGTAAGTGGATGCCCTCCAGAGTAGAGAGTCTGGAGTAGAGTCTGCAGTAGAGGACCTCTACATGATGTGACCGTATGTGTTAAGTAAAGAAAGAGGGAATGCAGAGCTGTGGGGATCAAAGGTGTAAGAGATCACTTCTGTTAGGGGCTTGGGGGGTGATCAGTGTGAGTGAGTTGCCTTGGAGTCAGGCCCTGGAAAAATGGGTAGATTTCAGCAGAGGGAGATGGGGGAGAGGGCATATCAGGCAGAAGGGAGAGCATGATCAAAGCCAAGAGCAGGGCAGAATTTAAGGCATAGGTTATATGCAGAAAAATACTGGAAGATAAGGTTGACAAGATAGGTTGGGCCCAGGTCATTACTTCCTGGAGGCAAGGACAATGTCTTTTAGTCTCTCCAGGGCCTAGAACACAGTGGGCCCCCCCAGAGTGTGGAAAGAATGAAAAATAGGAAAGCAGGCAAAAATTGGTTCGGAAAGGCAGACACTGGATTCCACATTGGAGAAGTCAGCCTTGAGATGCTTGAGGAAATCCATGCAGTGGGGCCAGTGGGCTTGGGGCTGAGGCTTTCAAAGGAGGACTAACCAAGTAAGGGATGGTCGATGCTGTGCAGTGGCTGTGGTCTGTGAGGAAACTGTAGAAAGAGGAAGACGACAGGGTGCGGTCAGGCCACTGGGCATGCAGGAGGAAGGGGCTGCTCAGGAGCAGTCCGTGAGGGAGTGTGGGGTTGAGATGGGGGACAGAGCAAAATCGAGAAGCAGCTGCGGTCAGCAGCGTGCGGGGCTGCGTGCGTTGACCAGCACGAGGACTTAGAAGGATGGAGTGGTGGCGTTAGCAAATTTCTACTCGTTATTTAAAAGGCCTAGCTCAGCTATATTCTCTTCCATCAAGCCATCCTCTTTTTACTCTTTGGGCAAGAATTTGTTCGACCCTACTCTGGGCTCCCACCTTGTCACACCTTGTCGCACCTTTGCTGGAGCATTTGCTGATCATCCTGTGCTGCTCAGTGTGTGACGCCATCATCCCCAAGATTGGGCTCCACTAGGTCTGCAGCCAGGTCTCCTCCACCTTTGGATCCACTGTGTAATCAGTACGGTCTAGCGACCAAATGAATGAACAAAGGGAGACAGGAGCAGCCAGCACTGGTGCAGTGAGACCTGTTTCGGTGGAGTGGGGAATGGTGGGCAGCCGGGTTGCAGGGCGTGGAGAAGACGGACAGTGAGAAGGCAAAGAGGCTCCTCCATGAGCCGGGGCCTGTGTGGGGAGGGGATGGATGCTCTTGGGCAAGCTGTTTACTCTGGGTTTTTGTTTTTGTTTTTGTTTTTTTTAATTCAGAGTAAAAACCCAAAACACCATTGAACAGTTGCTACATGTGGTACTAGATTCAAAAGGCACAAAAGGATATATAGTGAAAAGTCTCTCTTAACAGTGTATAGTAACACTATATCTTGGAGAACATTCCAGATGAAGATATAAGATGCTTCTTCCTTCTTTATTCCATGGAACGTATATGATAGACCTTGAATGAAGGACAAGTTGTTCCTAGTCTTTTCCTTTGATAATAGCATTGTTAATACCCAGCTTCTTCTGAGGTCCTTAGGAAGGAGGGGAGGGGACAGGCGAGACTATTTGGTGAAATCCTCTTGAGTTGACTCCACTGGGGTGAGAAGGCAGCCGCTCATCTTGCTTTCGGCAGTCCGGCACCCAGTGGAGTCTGTTAGGGGTTGGGGAGGCCTGTGGCTTCAGCGGCCCCTGCAGTCAGGGGCAGGTCTAGCGCTGCGCCAGCTCACACCATCGCCGTCTGCCCGCAGACCTGGCCTATGGCTCTGTGATTACCGTGAAGAGCGCGCGGATGGCCGTTGGCTACCTCCACTCGCACGGGCACCTCTACCCCGAGGGCATCGGCGCCCGCCAGCAGCAGGTCAGTGAGCCCTTTGTGCACTTGAGTTGCGGCAGCACTAAGCTGTTTGCCATGACTGAACCCTCCGTTCTCTTTCTGGCTTCCCCTCCTTTACCTGCACTGTTTCCCCGGCTTGAAACACCCTTTTCCTCTGCCTAACTCCAGCTTCCCTAGGCTTCAGCTGGGGAGTTCCCCTCTGACCACCATGACCTACCTCTGCCTGCTCCTGGGTTAGGTGCGTCTGGTGTGGGCGGCTTTCTCGGCACCTTTACAAGCCTGTGTGGTAACCCTCTTCGCATTGAATTGTGAGTGCTTCCTTCCTCCTGTCTCTTTGCTGTTTGATTGCTGGCTCCTGGAAGGCTCAGTGCCTGGCACGAAGTGGATGATGGGTAGAGTGTCATGGTTATAAACACAGGCCTGGGAACCAGACTAGTTTATCTGGGTTCGAATCCTGGTTCCACTAGAGTGTGACTTTGAACAAATCCCTTAACCTTTCTGTGCTTCAGTGGGCTCATCTTTAAATTGGGGGAAATAAATAGTACTTCTCTCCATCATAAGGTTGTTGTGAGGATTAAGTGAGATAATCCGTATGACGCGCATGCTGGAGGATTAGCCGTGAGTATGATCTGAACGAGTGAGCGACACTGTCCGCATCCACGTTAAGGAGTGGTGGATGTGGCTGTGGTGGATGATGCCTGACAGGGAGAAGGTTGGGGCTGGAGAGGTCCGCGGGGCCAGATTATGGAGAGGCCTTACGTGTTACAGTAGATTTAATTTTGTTCTGTAGACGCTGGGGAGGCATTGAAACTTATTAAGGGATAAGATGTGCTTAGATTCCTAGTTTAGAAGGACAGCTCTAGCAGGAGTGTGGTGGATCGGAAGGAGGAGGAGACTAGAGGCAATAATCATGACAAAGGGCGGTGAACGGAGGCAGAGACCACAGGGAGAGAGGTGGGAAGTGATTTAGGAAACTCTTCAGAGGTTGAATGTCAGGGCCTGGTAACTGATAGCTGTCAGGGATGAGCCATGTCCAGGTCTGTAGTCTGGAGGTCAAGGTGTTTGTGTGATAATGCTGTTTCACCATAATCAGAAATGGAGGAGGAAGCATGGCTTTGGAGATGAGTTTCCTTTGTGTATTTTAGCTCTGGGACTTGTCTCAGGAAAGAGACGTGAGTGTGTAGCATACAGGTGTCAGTGACACAGTGGGGGATGGGTGACATTGCCCTGAAGCGGTGTGCAGAGGGAGGAGGGCCAGCAGAGGAGCCCTGGGGGGCAGCAGCACGTAAGGCAGCATTAAAGGCGCTCAGAGTTTCACTGGTAGAAGTGGCTGAGAAGGGGTGGACGGGGAGGTTGGGGGAGAAGGGAGGACAGTGCGGAGCAGAGGGTCTCCAGTGGGAGGAGACACCAGCAGCTCAGGTGCTGCAGACCTCGGAGGAGGTGAGGACAGAGGAAGAGGCCTTCGAAGGGCAGCATGGGAGGCCTGGCAACTCTGACAGGGGTGGCTTCCGTGGCGTCGCAGGGCGGAGGCCTCGGATGCAGCGACCTGAGGAGAGGAGTGTGCGGAGGTCGGGGCCTCAGGGCTGGCCGCTGCTCTGAGAAGCTTGAAGTGAAGTTTCTCTTCCTGCAGAATGACCAGAATCTTTACTTTGTGAACAACTTTTGCTTCTCAAAATATTTTATTGTTATTATTTCCTTATTTACTAGAAGGTTGACCCAGAGTATTGGGTTTCGGTATCAGTTTCCCATTCTTGACTCTCCGCTTCTCTCTAGCGCAGTGGTTCTCAACCCTGGCTGCGCTTTAGAGTCCATTGGAGAGCTTTTAAAAAATTCTGATGCCTGAGGTCCACCCCAGAGATTCTGACTTAATTGACCTAGGATGGGGCCCATGCATTGTGCATTTTTGTTCTGGTTTTAAGCCCTCCAGAAGAGTCTAATGTACTGCTAGCCCTTCCATAGTGATACCTTGCTACTGGTGTCATGTAGGAGATAAAGTTACAGATGTGGTGATGAGGAACATCTATACTGTGCAAAGGGAGAGAAGAGCCACGTTCTGAAAGGCCCTATTAAGCTGGTCTTAGTGTTACACACTTGAAGCCCATGGGTGGAGGCATGAAGTTGTGACAGTCATCTAGAGAGAGCACATTAGGCCAAGGGACCGAGAGCCTGGCTTTGTCACTGACTGAGTCACTGAGCCTTTCGCAGCCTGTGTCGTCATCTGTAAATTGCAGGGACCGCACTAAATAACCTCTAGTAGCCCTCCCTGCCCTGTAGTTTAATGTCTTGTTATCAGCTCTAGGTCTCGATTTTTAAATGTTTTTAAAGCATAATGTTTATAAAGTAAGATTGGAAAGTGTAGAAAAGTATAAAAAAAAAACCCCAAAGTTACACATAATCCAAGGGTCATTGTTTATCCACGTAGTTTGATGTACAACATTCTGCTGTAATAGCATACCTGTGTCCCTAGGAGACCTCATATTATAAAAAACTCCATTGTAAAAATAAATGTTTCAAGGGAAAAAGAGGCCATGGACTATATTCACAATAAGTGATTTTTCTAATAGGAATTTTAATAATAATGGTTTTTGTAAAAAAAAAAACCCAAAAAACAAAATGACAGCACAGAGTGCATACATGAGCACCACAAAAGCTTAACATCCTTGAGCAAAATCAAGCTGGGTGAACTTGATGTATGCAGCTTTTGTTAACTTGTATGTTCTTAATACCATTATTCCTAGTTGTTTCTGAGAAAGCAAAAGCCACTGAAACGAAGCAGCCATAATACACGCATAATTATTTTCCTACACGCTAATTCCAAATCTCTTTGCAAGTAAATAAGTCATGTTTTGTCCAATTGGAGTTATTAAAACTCACGTTGTAAGAGAGATGCCTTTGTTTCCGTTGCTTCTGGGTATTTATGGGCTTGTACACATAATTAGCATAATTGTATGTATGCAGTCTCTATCCTGGGAGCTCTGGAGCTAGCTCCCTCCGTTTGAATCCTGTCTCTCCAGCTGACAAGCTGTGAGACCTTTACTTAACCTCAGCAAATTACTTACCCTCAGTTTGCTTGTGAGTAAGGTGGAGGTAACCATAGTACCTACAACCTAGCGATAAGACCTGTCCAGTGCTTAGAGCTGTGCCTAGTGATAAATGGTAACCATTTTCAACAGCAGCATGTTATACGCCCTCTCCTGTGCTGGGTAAAAATGCCCTGAAACATTTCCTGCGGCTGTATAATATTCTCTCCTGTGGACATAACCAGCACGTAACTCTTCCTTTAGTATTGGACATTTATATTGTTCCCAGGATTTTTGCTGGTAGTTTAATTGCAGCATTACATGCGTGTACACACATGCTCACACATACAGTTTTTTAAAAATCAGTGTATACAAAATGGCTATGTCTAAAACTTCAGGCTTCTAGGATAAGATTTTTTTTTTTATAGAAGGAAGGAGAGAAAGTAGCATTCACCTAATGCTACTTCTGAGCCCTGTCTGGAGACACAGCCCCTCGGGTTGGTGGCTGGGGATTCTGAAAAAGGCTTAAGCAACATTGGCTTGCTATTGATTGTCCTGTGGCCGGCTGTGCTGATAATGACTGTCTTCTCCCTCCCACCTCCTCCTCCCTCCCCCACCCTACCCAGGTCACCACCTATTTGCACAAGGACTACAACAACCTGTGGATTATCAAGAAACATAATACAAATTCAGGTAATGCGGTAGGGAGCTGGCGCTTCTTGTATTATTACTTACTCTGAGCCCTCCTTAACATTTCTCATGCCTCCAAAAGAATGGTACTGGGATGGACTTTCCTGAGCATTCTTTGCCATCTTTACAGATCTCAGTTATCCTTTCAACAGTTATTTATTGAGCCCCTGCTACATTCCAAGGACTGTTGTTGGCATAGGGATAAGCAGTGAGCAAGACAGATAAGATCTCACTCTTAGAGCTGTCTTTTCTTTTTTAATTTTTAAATTTAATTTTATTAATTTTTTTATACAGCAGGTTCTTATTAGTCACCCATTTTATAGACAACAGTGTATACATGTCAATCCCAATCTCCCAATTCATCACACCACCACCACCACCACCCGCCGCCACTTTCCCCCCTTGGTGTCCATACGTTTGTTCTCTACGTCTGTGTCTCAATTTCTGCCCGGCAAACCGGTTCATCTGTACCATTTTTCTAGGTTCCACATATATGCGTTAATATACGGTATTTGTTTTTCTCTTTTACTTCACTCACTTCACTCTCTGTGACAGTCTCTAGATCCATCCATGTCTCTACAAATGACCCAATTTCGTTCCTTTTTATGGCTGAGTAATATTCCATTGTATATATGTACCACATCTTCTTTATCCATTTGTCTGTCGATGGGCATTTAGGTTGCTTCCATGACCTGGCTATTGTAAACAGTGCTGCAGTGAACAGTGGGGTGCATGTGTCTTTTTGAATTATGGTTTTTCTCTGGGTATATGCCCAGTAGTGGGATTGCTGGGTCATCTGGTAATTCTATTTTTAGTTTTTTAAGGAACCTCCATACTGTTCTCCATAGTGGCTGTATCAGTTTACATTCCCACCAATAGTGCAAGGGGGTTCCCTTTTCTCCACACCCTCTCCAGCATTTGTTGTTTGTAGATTTTCTGATGATGCCCTTTCTAAACGGTGTGAGGTGATACCTCATTGTAGTTTTGATTTGCATTTCTCTTATAATTAGTGATGTTGAGCAGCTTTTCATGTGCTTCTTGGCCATCTGTATGTCTTCTTTGGAGAAATGTCTATTTAGGTCTTCTGCCCATTTTTGGATTGGCTTGTTTGTTTTTTTAATATCGAGCTGCATGAGCTGTTTATATATTTTGGAGATTAATCCTTTGTCCATTGGTTCGTTTGCAAATATTTTCTCCCATTCTGACTGAGGGTTGTCTTTTCATCTTGTTTGTAGTTTCCCTTGCTTTGCAAAAGCTTTTAAGTTTCATTAGGTCCCATTTGTTTATTTTTGTTTTTATTTCCATTACTCTAGGAGGTGGATCAAAAAAGATCTTGCTGTGATTTATGTCAAAGAGTGTTCTTCCTCTGTTTTCCTCTAAGAGTTTATAGTGTCCAATCTTACATTTAGGTCTCTAATCCATTTTGAGTTTATTTTTCTGTATGGTGTTAGGGAGTGTTCTAATTTCATCCTTTTGCATGTAGCTGTCCAGTTTTCCCAGCACCACTTATTGAACACACTGTCTTTCCTCTGTTGTATATCCTTGCCTCCTTTGTCATAGAGTAGGTGACCATAGGTGCATGGGTTTATCTCTGGGCTTTCTATCCTGTTCCATTGATCTATATTTCTGGTTTTGTGCCAGTACCATATTGTCTTGATTTGGGTTTATCTCTGGGCTTTCTATCCTGTTCCATTGATCTATATTTCTGGTTTTGTGCCAGTACCATATTGTCTTGATTACTGTAGCTTTGTAGTATAGTCTGAAGTCAGGGAGTCTGATTCCTCCAGCTCCGTTTTTTTCCCTCAAGACTGCTTTGGCTATTCGGGGTCTTTAGTGTCTCCATACAGATTTTAAGATTTTTTGTTCGAGTTCTGTAAAAAATACCATTGGTAATTTGATAGGATTGCATTGAATCTGTAGATTGCTTTGGGTAGTATAGTCATTTTCACAATATTGATTCTTCCAATCCAAGAACATGGTATATATCTCTGCATCTGTTGTTATCATCTTTAATTTCTTTCATCAGTGTCTTATAGTTTTCTGCATACAGGTCTTTTGTCTCCCTAGGTAGGTTTATTCCTAGGTATTTTATTCTTTTTGTTGCAGTGGTAAATGGGAGTGTTTCCTTAATTTCTCTTTCAGATTTTTCATCATTAGTGTATAGAAATGCAAGAGATTTCTGTGCATTAATTTTGTATCCTGCAACTTTACCAAATTCATTGATTAGCTCTAGTAGTTTTCTGGTGGCATCTTTAGGATTCTCTATGTATAGTACCATGTCATCTGCAAACAGTGACAGTTTTACTTCTTCTTTTCCAATCTGTATTCCTTTTATTTCTTTTTCTTCTCTGATTGCCGTGGCTAGGACTTCCGAGACCATGTTGAATAATAGTGGTGAGAGTGGGAAACCTTGTCTTGTTCCTGATCTTAGAGGAAATGCTTTCAGCTTTTCACCATTGAGAATGATGTTTGCTGTGGGTTTGTCATATGTGGCCTTCATTATGTTGAGGTAGGTTCCCTCTTTGCCTACTTTCTGGAGATTTTTTATCATAAATGGGTGTTGAATTTTGTCAAAAGCTTTTTCTGCATCTATTGAGATGATCATATGGTTTTTCTCCTTCAGTTTGTTAATATGGTATATCACATTGATTGACTTGAGTATATTGAAGAATCCTTGCATCCCTGGGATAAATCCCGCTTGATCATGGTGTATGATCCTTTCAAAGTATTGTTGGATTCCGTTTGCTAGTATTTTGTTGAGGATTTTTGCATCTATATTCATGAGTGATATTGGTCTGTAATTTTCTTTTTTTGTAGTATTTTTTCTGGTTTTGGTATCAGGGTGATGGTGGCCTCATAGAATGGGTTTGGGAGTGTTCCTTCCTCTGCAATTTTTTGGAAGAGTTTGAGAAGGATGGGTATTAGCTCTTCTCTAAATGTTTGATAGAATTCGCCTGTGAAGGCATCTGGTCCTGGACTTTTGTTTGTTGCAAGATTTTTTTTTTTTTGCGGTACACGGGCCTCTCACTGTTGTGGCCTCCCTCTCCCGTTGCGGAGCACAGGCTCTGGACGCGCAGGCTCAGCGGCCATGGCTCACGGGCCCAGCCGCTCCACGGCATGTGGGATCTTCCCGGACGAGGGCACGAACCCGTGTCCCCTGCATCAGCAGGCGGACTCTCAACCACTGCGCCACCAGGGAAGCCCTGTTGCAAGATTTTTAATCACAGTTTCAATTTCATTACTTGTGATTGGTCTGTTCGTATTTTTTATTTCTTCCTTGTTCAGTCTTGGGAGGTTATATGTTTCTAAGAATTTGTCCATTTCTTCCACGTTGTCCATTTTATTGGCATAGCGTTGCTTGTTGTAGTCTCTTAGGATGCTTTGTGTTTCTGTGGTGTCTGTTGTAACTTCTCCTTTTTCATTTCTAATTTTATTGATTTGAGTCCTCTCCCTCTTTTTCTTGATGAGTCTGGCTAATGGTTTATCAATTTTGTTTATCTTCTCAAAGAACCAGCGTTTAGTTTTATTGATCTTTGCTATTGTTTTCTTTGTTTCTATTTCATTTATTTCTGCTCTGAACTTTATGATTTCTTTCCTTCTACTAACTTGGGGTTCTGTTTTCTTCTTCTTTCTCTAGTTTCTTTAGGTGTAAGGTTAGATTGTTTATTTGAGATTTTTCTTGTTTCTTTAGGTAGGCTTGTATAGCTATAAACTTCCCTCTTAGAACTGCTTTTGCTGCATCCCATAGGTTTTGGATCATAGTCTTTTCGTTGTCATTTGTCTCTAGGTATTTTTTGATTTCCTCTGATTTCTTCAGTGATCTCTTGGTTATTTAGTAACATACTGTTTAGCCTCCATGTGTTTGTGTTTTTTACATTTTTTTCCCTGTAATGGATTTCTAATCTCATAGCATTGTGGTGGGAAAAGATGCTTGATATGATTTCAATTTTCTTAAATTTACTGAGGCTTGATTTGTGACCCAAGATGTGATCTATCCTGGAGAATGTTCCGTGCGCACTTGAGAAGAAAGTGTAATCTGTTGTTTTTGGACGGAATGTCCTATAAATATCAATTAAATCTATCTGGTCTGTTGTGTCATTTAAAGCTTGTGTTTCCTTATTAATTTTCTGTTTGGATGATCTGTCCATTGGTGTAAGTGAGGTGTTAAAGTCCCACACTATTGTTGTGTTACTGTTGATTTCCTCTTTTATAGCTGTTAGCAGTTGCCTTATGTATTGAGGTGCTCCTGTGTTGGGTGCATATGTATTCATAATTATTATATCTTCTTCTTGGACTGATCCCTTGATCATTATGTAGTGTCCTTCCTTCTCTCTTGTAACATCTTTATTTTCAAGTCTATTTTATCTGATATGAGTATTGCTACTCCAGCTTTCTTTTGATTTCCAAGTGCATGGAATATGTTTTTCCATCCCCTCACTTTCAGTCTGTATGTGTCTCTAGGTCTGAAGTGGGCCTCTTGTAGACAGCATATATATGGGACTCAGACAGCTGAGGCTCAGACTTAATCCAGAAGAGGTTACCTGGACACATGCCTGGGGCATGCTGTGGCTGCTTTCATTTCTGATTTAGAGCACACCAAGCCTTGCAGACCCCAGCATGTGGTACAGCTCAGGTTGTCTGGATGTGATAGAGGGCTGCTGCCCACTGGTCACCCCAGGCCTGGGCCAGTCTGTTGGAGATCTGCGGGCCTGCCAGCCCTGTGGCTGGGCTCGTCTAGGTTGGTGCCCGGGACCTCCCTCAATGCTTGCACATCTGCCTCTGACAGGCCAGGGTGAAGCTGCTCTGAAGCACCTCTATGGGGCTCCAAGGGCTTTGTGACAAGGGCTATGTCTGGATCTTCTGGTTTGTTGGTCAGACAGCTGGCTACCTGCAGACTGTGCCTTTTGCTGCGGCTGCCTGCAGACTGTGCCTTTTGCTGCAGCCGAGAAGAGAACAGAACAGAGGGCATCTCCCACTCACCTTCTGATTGTCTTATGCCACAGGTGTTCTCTCCTCAGCAAACACCACCTGGCTCAGCCTGTCTCGAGTCAGCTGCTCCTGGCCTTTGTGGGGAAGTGGGCAGCTGCTCATCTAAATTTACCTTCTCTGTTCCTTTCGCCACCTCCCCTTATTGCCATGGTTTTTAGGCTTGAAACGTGGCCTGTATGACCACTGTCTTTGCATCCTACTCCTCGGTAAGATAAATTATGACACCATTGGGCAGGATCTATTTCTGTCCCTTATAGTACTGTTATAGATTGTGTTTTGATTCAACAGGCCAAACATAAGCGGTCTGTTGCAATGAGGGGTTCTGAGGGAAGACCAGCTTTCCTTCTAAAGTCATGTGGGCACGGACCAAGTCTTTGAACGTCCCTGTTCTGTTATTCCACTGTGGCTTCCAGGTTAAGGTGGCTGCATTTCACTCCGGTGACTAAGGATTCGTGTGAAGGCAGATCACTATAGGCATTCTGGGAAGGGGGAACTGTCTAGACAAAGGTCTTTGTGTTCTTGATGGCCATAAGTGCCCTTCCCCCACAGATCCATATTAAGTAAAACTTCCCTCCCCTTTGACTTATTTGATTTGTCATCTTGCTGATTCTTCTTCTTCTTCTTCCTTTTTAAAATAAATTTATTAATTTATTTTTGGCTGTGTTGGGTCTTCGTTGCTGCGCACTGGCTTTCTCTGGTTGCGGCGAGCAGGGGCTACTCTTGGTTGCAGTGCACGGGCTTCTCATTACAGTGGCTTCTTTTGTCGTGGAGCACGGGCTCTAGGGAGCGTGGGCTTCAGTAGTTGTGGCACGCAGGCTTCGTAGTTGTGGCTTGCAGGCTCAGTGGTTGTGGCTCATGGGCTCTAGAGCACAGGCTCAGTAGTTGTGGTGCACAGGCTTAGTTGCTCTGCGGCATGTGGGATCTTCCCGGGCCAGGGATCAAACCTGTGTCCCCTGCATTGGCAGGTGGATTCTTAACCACTGTGCCACCAGGGAAGTCCTGATTATTCTTCTTAAGAGACCTTAGAAGGCAGCACAGGAATGGGCATTTCTACAGTTGAGTTCTCTTATTCTCTTGAGAGCCAGTGATTTGTCCTGGCAGGTTTGTCTTTCCTGACCTTGAGTGTTAGTGTCTACTGCCTGGGACAGAAATTTGCAAGGACCTTCTGTGTTGCTGTGATTACTGCCAACTCCTTTTCCACTGTCATCACTTTTCTAGATCCTCACTGGTCTTGACTTCTTGACGATACAGAATTATTTCTTTTCTTTCATCATTTTCTTTGCCTCACGTTTATCAAGTCTATAGCCAGAGACAAGATAATCACTGACAAAATATGCAGGGTTTAACATTTGATTTTGAAGAGAGCTGGGCAAATGGTCTTTTGCATGGAATTAATATTTGGAAGACTATATATTTACTTCTAAAAGGAAAATCTTATTATCTAGCTTCCCAGCTCAAAAATCCATTAGTGGGGGCTTCAGTGCTTGTCAGATAAAGGCCACATTTCCCAGCATGGCATACACAGTCTGGCCCCACTTGTCCACACCCTCACCTATTCCCACTGTCCTTCCGGCCCACCCTCCCTAACCATGTGAATTCATTTGCCACTGATTCAGATGAGTTTTGCTCTTTCATACCTCTCTGGCTTTTCCCCACTTGTTCACCTGACAAGTTCTCCCTCTCCTTTGAGAGTCTGTTCAGTCATTATCTCTGGGATACCCTTCCCTCACCCTCTGAGACAGTTCGCTTTGGTCCCACAGCACTCTGTCAGTACGTCATGCGCATATACCACGTTGTACTATAACTCTTTACCGGTAGGTCCTTGATTAATGCTCGCTTAATGAGTGAACGGTTTCAGACATCAATGCTTGTTTCTTCTTGACAGATCCCCTAGACCCTTCACTCCCTGTGGAGTTTGTAAGACATGGAGACGTCATTCGACTAGAACACAAAGAGTAAGTAAATTTGCTGTTTGGGATAAATGAGTGGCATGAGCATCAAAGGTACAGAGCTCTTTTAAGCTGGAAATAAACAGAAGTCAAATGTGGATGAGGCTCTAGTAAATGGAACAAGGCTGCTGTGCTAGAATGGGAGAGTGATTACTTTGCCTATTTTGGCTTTGGGAAGCTTTGGATTTTGAAGGTACCTTTCAACTGCCCTTTTCCTAGGGGGAAGAAAGAAAACAATTGAGTTGCCCAAAGCTTTTTCTTAAGCGGCTGCCTTTAGAAAGGCATAGGAGTCTGTTTCTGAATATGGCAAACTAGTTCAGTTAACCAGTGTTCTCACTGAGAATGACTAAAAATGCTGGAAAATGTAGAAACGTCTTCTTAACAGCATAAAGAACTGACAAGATAGTACGGAGTTACTAGGTCAAAATCTCAGTGAAAGGGGGAATCCAGAGAAAAAGTGGGACACTGTGGCCACTTCTGCCTTGAACCCACAATCTTGAGTTTTGATTTTTGGGTTTTGACTGCCTCTAGAGAGAAGTTTTAAAGTCAAAGCTCTAGTCTCACCCAAAGTGGTAAATTATTGTGATCTTCCCCCAAATTTCTAACCCCCAAAGGCTCAGGGTTAGGATAAATCCGCCCTATCTACCTATATCCAGAGTGTGTTTGGGAGAGCAGGGAGGGGGGTGAGGTTGGTGGGGACACTAAATCTGGTTCCTGAGAAGTTGTAATTACCAGTTGATCTTCACATGGATTTGCAACCCAAATTCATTTCACCTGGATGGTCTCAAAATCTTCAGGCCATGAATTTAAATGAACATGGTTCTAAACTGTGGTAATGTTCCCTAGGTGCCTGGCTAAAAGCAAATGTTAATCCTCTTTTGGGAAATACATGGTTATCCATTCCTATAAATAGTTTTTCAGTGACAGTGAATAGCACACAGTAAAAAATAACTAAGCACACAAGGAAATAGGGCACCATGTGCAAGAATGAACAGGAAAAACAGGCAACAGAAGCAGCCCTGAAAAAATTTCATATGAATTGTCAGATACAGAATTTTTTTTTTAAATCAGGGATTTTTTAATATACATATAGAAAAGCTATGAGCAGTGTTTTTTCCCTAGTCAGTAAGATTATGGATACTTAAAATTTTAATTTTATTTTTTTTAATAAATTAAAATTTATTAACTAAATTTTATTTTTGCAAATTTCCAATATTTTTATAATGAACATTGATTACTTATTATGGATAAAAGTAAGGATTATTACAAAAAGCACAAAGTAAACAAAATCTAAATTAAACCATCCACTTCCCCCACAGATCCCTACTTTGTAAAACTGGTGATAGGAGGAGAAAGCATAGATGGTAGGGAGGAAGTTTACCTGTCTCGGGCATACGTAGATTACAAATTTTAATTTTCTTCTCCCTAAACCTGCCTCTTAAGTCAGGCTAACTTGCCTCAAAGCCACCAATGTGTTCAGTCATCCCCCTGCCCCCCACCTGAAGTTGTGGGGTGAACAGGAAGTGAAACCCCTTTCTTGGCATATGGTCCAGTACTCCTACCATCTGTCCCTCATGATATGTTGGATTTAATGGTTTGGATTCTAATTTTTCTTATCCAAACAGATGACTCTGAGTAGCCTTGGTAAAAGAAGAAACATTGCACATCTCTTTTCTTCAGGATAGTGGCACTTCTCTCTTTTAATTTCTAGGACTTCTCGGAACTTGCACAGTCACTATCATGAGGCCCCCCTGACCCGGAAGCACTATCAGGTCACAGGCTATGGCATAGTAAGTGAGCCACTCGAGTGTGAGCAGGATGTCAAAAACTGTGGGGCCTGGCTCAGGGCCATGTGGTGGAACACATCCTCCCCAGAATTCTGGAATGTTCCTAGTGATTGGCTGCACAGGGACTCTTAACATTTAGGAACTTTCTGGCTAGGCTTTTTGCTGTGGGAAAGGCAGCCTATGAAGTCTACTTGTTTCCATCTCTTGCCTCCCATAATTACCATGCCATTTTTATGTTCTGACACTTAATAAATGTCAAATATGAATACTGTAAGGGTCTCTTTTACAGTCATATTATACTTAGAAGCCACAGGGCCACAATATGACCCCAGATGAATATACAAGTTTATCCTTTGCCAGATCCCAAATTCTCATTGGCTTTATTTATTTATTTTTTTGCGGTACGCGGGCCTCTCACTGCCGTGGCCTCTCCCGTCACTGAGCACAGGCTCTGGACGCGCAGGCTCAGCGGCCGTGGTTCACGGGCCCAGCCGCTCCACGGCATGTGAGATCCTCCCGGACTGGGGCACGAACCCGTGTCTCCTGCATCGGCAGGCGGACTCTCAACCACTGCGCCACCAGGGAAGCCCTCACTGGCTTTATTTTTAAGGATTACTTCCCTGTTCCACAGAGGGATATTGTCCACATTGCTTTGGGTTTTTACTGCCTTGGGGTGATGCAGTTAATAGAGGAAGCTCTGTGAGTATTTATGGCTTGGGGAGTAATTTGAAAACAGAAACAACTAGTGGGAAAGTAGATTTATGACTGTCTGTTAACGTTCCCTTCCAAAGGCTTTGGTGCTTCAGTAAAGATTCTGGGTTCCTTAAGGTGGAATTCCCAACCCTCTTTCTATTTGCTCATCCCACATTATACTAGAGCCAAGACTCTGAACTTCATCTTTTTCTGGTGGGCATTTCCTGAGGAGAATTAGACACAACTGTCTTAATTTCCACAGTACGATATCTAGGCCAGACCTTTCTTCAATGAGTGAGTGTCCCCATGGCCACCAGTAATGGATGCAAATAGCCCAAATTTATTTCTGTTGGCACACGGTGATGTCTTGAGTTTGGTTTAAGGGCAAAAACATTTATTTAGAACTTAAACTCCAGGTCTATAAAGTGAAGAATTAGAATTAAGGTTCGAGGAATTATACTACTTTTCTTGGTTGTAATCGCGAGTGCTGGGACAATGGCAGTCACTTGGTATATTTCTATGGCCCTCTCGTTCCCTTTCCCACCTCAGTCATTTAGGCCAGTTTGGTCTTTGACCAAACTGTAACATGATGGCATCTGAAAGGGTGACCATCTCCCTTTTCTGATACGTCTTCTCTAAAGTCATCTTACTTTCTTTGTATTTTTTTCTTGATTTATGTGGCAGAATGGGACAGGAGACTCAAATGACTTCTGGCGGATTGAGGTTGTAAACAGAAAATTTGGAAACCGAATCAAAGTACTGAGAAGTCGAATTCGCCTCATCCATCTGGTGACAGGTTGTGTCCTGGGCTCCTCGGGAAAGGTCCTGCCCAAGTGGTGAGTCTCTGGGGTTTTGATGTCCCCATTAGTGGCTCATGCTTTTCCTTTCACACTACGAGGAGTATACCAAAAACTTCCATTTCGCAGTGGTCGATGTTCACCTCAGGTTTGCTTTTTCTTTGTGGTGAATGGAGGGAGGAAAGGCATCAGGAGTTTTATGGAGCCCAGAGCTCCAGAGTTCCTTCGGTGTTTCGTATGTTGTAATAGTTGAGCATTTGTACATCTGGCTTGTGATAACTCTCTGGATCTATGTGTCTTTCTAAAACGGGAATGTTGTGTGCTCGACTCCTCCTAGGATAGTTGTGGAACATAAAAGTGTGAGGCTGAAAAAAGCATGGCCACTGGGTTGGAAAGAGAGGGGCGCCGTAGACTGAAGAGCAGTTGGCAGTGTTACTCTCCAGTGGGTTTCAGGTCTTCTGAGAGACATCTGTGACTACTTTTCACAGGGGCTGGGAGCAGTTGGAAGTCACCTGCACTCCATACCTAAAGGAAACCCTCAACTCCATCTGGAATGTGGAAGACCATATCAATCCCAAATGTGAGTGAGGCCATGTCCTGGGCTGGCTCTGAAGGGAACATTTCTAAGTAACTCTCATCTTAGGAAAAGAAACCTTTACAGACTCTGCTGCCACTTTATCTTATTGTTGCCATTTTCTTCCTTTTTTAAACCTAATCTCTTCTTATGAATTGTCTAGATAGGGAGCTCCTTTTTTCTCCCCATCCACTCAAACTTCCCATCCTCTTTAAACTCCTCTCCCTAAAGTGACCTACAACGTCACTCGGGGCCACAGCTGGTTGTCTCTGGTCACCTTCCTTGCCTCCTGCTGGATATGACTCTCTTGCCGCCTGTAATGCAGGTCCATCTGCTTGCCTCCTGCGCTATTCTATCCCCTCTGTGGTTACCTCCCCACCCTCAAGGCTTAGAGCAGGCCGGTGCTTTCCCTTTCTGCCCCTGTGTAGGCTCCTCCCCTCCCCACATCCAGCCAAGGCTTTTACAGAAAGCAATGGCTGCAGCCCTTGATCTGATCCCCATATTTATGCTACCAGGCGCCAATTGACATTTCCACTCCCGTGTCATCTTCAACTCAACGAGTGTCTGGATTCATCATCTGTCCTCTTAAGCTACCCCCTTCACGCTTCTGCTTGATTTCTCCTCTTCATGCTTCCAATTTCATTCTTTTTACCACCTAATTTAACCAACCAGCTAATTAACTAAGTAATTAAACAGCTCTTTGTTTAGATGCTGGGAGCCATGTGGGGCCCTGGGGATGCCTTGGTGAATGAGACAGGCTCGGCCCCTGTCCTCACAGCCCTGCCTCGCGGGGGAGCAGCATTTGAGGGAGTGGCGTCATGAAGGCTGATGGTGCCGAGGGCTGTGGGAGTTCCGGGGCCAGGGCTTTTCGTCTGTTGCCATTGCCTCCCTCAGAATATCTGCTGAGTGCTTAATACGTGCTGAATGAGAATGATCGAGAATCCTTCTGTCTCCTCAACACTCTCACCTGCTTGTTAGCTTGTCAGGAAGGCTACACTCAGATCCTAACAGCAGTGTGGATACCATGGACAGACAGCCATGAGGAGGGGGTGTGTGAGAAAGGTTTACGCCTCTATCATTTCTTTTTCTAGTGCCAAACATCAGCCTGGACGTGCTGCAGCCCAGTTTTCCTGAGATAATGCTGGAGGCCCACATGGTGATGATCCGGGTACCGTGGCCCCTTCCCATTTGGTGGCTTCTCTAAGAGCTCTTGGGCATCCACAAATTTGGATCATGGATCAGTAACCTTGGTATAGACCCACTGCCCCCTTGTGGACTTAGAAAGTGTCTTCACCTATACTGGCTTAGATAGTCTTCAAAGGCATTGAATGGCGGTGGCAATGATGGTGACGGTAATGATGATGAACACTTACGTAGCTCTTATGTGCCAGGCACTACCCTAAGCACTGCACATATATTAACTTAATACTTATTACAGTCCTCCAGAGATTATCGTTCCCAGTTTACAGATGAGGGAATTGAGGCACAGAGGTTAAGGAACTTGCCCAGGGTCACACAGCTAAATGTAAGAGGTGGATCCAGGCCTTCAGAGTCAGTGCGAGTTACCACTTACACTCCTCTGCCTCTAAGTGAGCCTCACATCTGTTGAAGTGGCAGAGCTGAAAATCATAGTGCCCTTGGTTGAAAATCATGAGACACTGATAGGTGATTCCATCATATGAAATTAGGATTAGTTAGGATGAACAGCTAATTTGAGTGTGTTGTTTATATGCAGCATAAAATCCCAACCAAGAGCCCACTCAGGTTCCCAGACAGAAACAAACTGTTTAGGGGGCATGGTTGATTCTTTGTAAGGTTTTAAAGACTCGTCGTTTCTACTCTCTATCGTTAGTAGTTGAGAACTGACATCAAAGGTTTAAGAACAACTGAGAGAAGAAGTCTTTAAATTGAGAAAGTTCTACCTAGTAGCTTAAAGTTTCCCCTGTGAATTGGAAAAACCCTGATGCGGTTTCGATGTTGAGGGGGAAACCTCTTTACTTTGGCTTCTGGAAAACCGGTGTTCTGTAGGAACGATGTTTAAGAATCACGGTATCTTGGGGGCTTCCCTGGTGGCACAGTGGTTGAGAGTCCGCCTGCCGATGCAGGGGACATGGGTTCGCGCCCCGGTCCGGGAGGATCCCACGTGCCGCGCAGCGGCTGGGCCTGTGAGCCATGGCTGCTGAGGCTGCGTGTCCGGAGCCTGTGCTCCGCAACGGGAGAGGCCACAACAGTGAGAGGCCCGCGTACTGCAAAAAAAAAAAAAAAAAAGAAAGAATCACGGTATCTCAAGCCAGGTTTGTGTATCTGTGCAGGGTTGCAGAGAGGTGTAGCAGTTGTTATTTTTCCCCTGGTGAGCCATTGTCAATTGGTCTTTCCTGGAAGTGATTATGTAAGCAGTGCTCGGTAAATATAGTTGACTTATTTCAACAGATTAAATTTAAAAATTCAAATTTTGTCATTTCTGCACATTGGGAGGTGATGAGTTGACAATAAGCAATCTCTGGGTCCCTTCTTCTCTGACTCTCTGTTTGTAGCTGTCACTCTGGCCTCATGACATAGTTCTTTTGAATATGTGCCTGTCAGTCAAAATATCATTTTAGATCTGGGTAGAATTTTAAGACTAAGTCTAAATAAATAGTCTCATTTTTTCTTTCATTATCTAACAGGTAGAGTCAAAGAAGAAAAGGGACATAAGGAAACTTTCTTATTCAACTGATGTAGAGTCAGGATGGGGAGAGAGATCAAAATTGTCTGGACTATAGACACTGCAGGGGACAGGGCTTCTGCTAGCCGAGCAGAGGGCCTAAGGCCTGGGCGGAGAAGGCTGCCCAGGCTGCTAAGGTTAGCTGGAATAAGCCCACTAGGCGTTAAGCACAGAGAACAATGTACAGATACACATGCCTATAATGGTTACAGATTTTCCTTCCTTCCGTTTCTTGGTTTACTAAAGGAGCTGGATTTCTTAAGAGTTTAATGTGTAGGATGCCCTTGGCTTGTTATAGCTCTGGCTGGAGTTCCTGGGTTTGGGACTGGGCTGGACTGGTTTGAAGGAATTGATTTCCCTCAGCAGCTCCTCTGGGGTCCAGAATGATTCATTCTTCATTCCAAGGCCCTTCAGATGGCCATAATGGTTCAGGGGCTGTGCAGCTGACCCCTTTTGGCGTGACACCCCACTGGCACTTTTAACCCTGGAGGATCAATCCAGCCACTGTAGGGAGGCCTGCAAATGATTCCCAAGACCTCAAGGAGTTGGGTTAGTAAGGCACTGGGTGGTAGTTCACTGAACCAGACCTGGATCTTTCTTGGGCTAGGCCAGTGGTTCTCAATAGAGGGCGATTTTTGCCTCTGAGGGGATATTTAACAATGTCTGGAGACATTTTTGGCTGGCATCATAGAGGGGTAGGAATGCTTCTGACATCTAGTGAGTAGAGGCCAGGGATGCTAAACACCCTACACGGCACAGGCCAGCCCACACCAGAGACTTCTCCAGCCCCCAATGTCAATAGTGCCAAGGTGGAGAAACCCCAGCCTAACTCCTAGCACCTCACTCCCCTTCTGGGGAATGACTTCTCAGTCTGTGCTGATGATGAGACTGACGCCATCCTGCTGGGTAGGATCCAGGATCCTGCTCCTTTTCCTTCTTGTTTTAGCAAAGGCCTGATTTTGCCATTTAGAGACAGGTTGTTGGGTATTCTTGGCTGTTGGACTAGTTGGGCTGTGTCTGGGTCCTTCAGGCTAAAGTGTGCATTCTCAACCAGAGCGATATCGCTCCCAGGGGGTAAAATGTATTCTTGGAGGGTGGGAAAAAGAAAAAAAAGCCCTTAACTTTTTAATGTATAAAGCACACGTATTCCTGCATTATGTAAACAGATATACAGAATAGCTATGGTATTAAAATGTCATGAGGGGACTTACTGTGGTGATTGTTTTGCAATATATACAAATATTAAATCATTATATTGTATATCTGAAACTAATATGTTATATATCAATTATACCTCAATAAAAATTTCTTTAAAATGTCATGGCGGGGGAGTGTTTAGGGAATAGATGTCTTAAAAAGGTTGAGTGCGGGCAGGCAATAATGGGAAAAAACGCTGAGATACACTAGGCTAAAGTAACTTTTTCAAAGTCCAGGAACTTAGAGTTTCTGGGTTTGTGTTTGAAATTGGCCTTCCAAGGGAACAAGTGAGTCAACCCTGATTTTATATGCCCCACCTCATCCTCTTGACACCTTATCCTTGGCCTGGAGATGGATATGTATTTTGTGCCTGTGGGAAACAAGTCTCTCATTCCTCTTTCTCTCGAGCAGAGAGGGTCTGAACGGACTGTCTTTGCTGGGACATGGAGGCTTGCTTTTTGGGAAAAGTAAGTCAGTTTTTGTAAGCAGGTGGGCAGTGACTGAGAATGAGCACCTGATTCTTCCCTGCAAGGGAAGGAGAGGGGAGAGGAGAGAGGGTTTCTCTTGACACCTGGCCACACATCAGATCCCCGTCCCTCACGTTCCTGTCGGCCTTCTAGAGCTCTGCTTTGACTAGCTTTTCTTTGCCACTTCCCTGCAGGGGAACAATGGCCTCAAACCCAAAGACAACGAGTTCACGTCCAAACCCTGGCACTGGCCTATCAACTATCAGGTAGGGCCTGAGGCAAGAAAGAGGGCATTGAGATTTGGTGGATGTGGGGTGCGCTGCGGGGGCAGGGCGCAGCCTCGCCTGGCTCTGGGTGGCCAGAGGCGGGCTGTGTCTTCTGCCCCGATTCGGATCACCCTTCCCAGGGAGCTCCCGTAGAATGTGCCCACTCCGAGCCTCCCGTTAGGGCTCCCTGTCTACGAAGGGTGACCCGTCTTCCTCCTCTGGGAACTCGTGCGGCTGGGAGGAGCTGAGCTCTGGGCCAGCAGCGTGTCCTCTGCTCCACAGGGCCTGCGCTTCTCAGGGATCAATGACACCGACTTCCGAGTGTATCTGCTCGGCAACCCGGTGAGTGCCCTGCGCACCGCGCTTTGGGCCCTGAGCTGTGCCCGTGGAGAGCTGCTGCTTTCTCTCATCCTCCTGTTCTCGTTTCCCTGCAGGTGGTTTGGTGGCTGAATCTGCTGAGCATCGCCCTCTACCTCCTCTCAGGGAGCATCTTTGCTGTGGCTGTGCAGAGAGGGGCATGTCTGCCTGCTGAGGTTGAAGGTCAGGTCCCTGGACTCTCCTGCCCTCCCACCTAGCAGTCAAGAGGGCGCCTGCACTCGGGGAGGGCCCGCCTGCTGATGGGCCATCCTTTGCCTTTCCCTCCCCTTCTTCCCTTCTCTTTTGCTTTTTAGAACTCAGTCACCAAATGCCCAGTGCTGTGTTAAACACTACATCCTCCCAACAACCCTATAAAGTAGAATTTATTACTCCTGCTTTATGGATTAGGAAATCAAGGCACAAAGAGGTTAAGAAACTTGTCCCAGTAAGGGATAGAACTGAGGTTCACACCCAAGCAGACTGAGTTCAGAGCCTTCACTTTTGACCTCTGTGCTCTATGCAGAGCTTCCCACCTTTTCTCTTCTGCCCCTTCCTCATCCCATGGCCCTGTCCTCTAGTCACGTAGAGAGCAGCCCCCAGTCTGTGGGCCACAGCATCTGAGACATTCACACAGGCTCTCTCTGCAGCTCCGCATCTGAACAGACATAGTCCCCGACCGCCCCCTCTCCCACCTCCGTCCTTACCTCTGCCCGCACCTCCGCCCTGCCTGCTGCTGCAAAGACCTGCGTGACAGCAGAGATGTGGGAGCTGGAGCTGGAGGCCAGGCTGCCTGCTGCTGGGGTTTGGCGCCCCTGCCGTGGGTGCCGAGGCCTCCCTGGGCCGGGTAGCAAGCAGTTGCTCCTCTCCTGCCAGCTGCTGTAGGATTGTTCAGCTTGTGCAGAGGAGAGAAGGAAGGCCCAGCGAGGTGATGTGGCTTATGCAAGTCACACAGCAAGGAAGGGGCAGAGCTGGGCTAGACCAGGCTCTCTGCCCCCTCCCTGTCGGCTGACCGGGCTGTGCTGCTTGGGGCCCAGGGCTGTCCCAGGTCCTGCTGCAAGGAGGCGGGCAGCTCCTGTTGGGCTGGATGGTCCATTACTTCCCGTTCTTCCTGATGGGCCGGATCCTCTACTTCCACCACTACTTTCCCGCCGTGCTCTTCTCCAGCATGCTGACAGGTCAGCGCTGCCCTCCCGGACCTGGGTGATAAGGGCAGGGCAGGGGAGGAGGCCACCATGGAGCGCCGGCGCCGAGGGGGAGCCGTCTGCTTCCCTGGCCTGGGGGGCTCCGTCTGCTGCCTCCCCAGAAGGCATCCTCTGCCAGACCGGTGCGAGGTTTCTCTTCCTTCCATAGGCCTTCTGTGGGACACACTCCTGCGGCTCTGTGCCTGGAGCCTGGCCTCCTTTCCTCTGGCTGGGCACGTACACACGCTGGGGATCCTGAGCCTGCTCCTGGGAATTGCCTACAGGTGAGCACCCCCTGCACCTTGCATTGCTGCCCCCCAGCACTGAGGCCTCAGTCCCAGGTGCGTTTTAGAACCCCCTGGCATGCTTTTGAAGCACACTGGTGCCCGGCTCCGTCTCCAGAGGTTCTGATTCACTTGAGCCCAGTTTGGGTCCTGTGGTCCAGCCACAGTTTTTAAAGCTCCCCACGTGACCCGAATGTGCAGCCAGATGGGCGGAGCACGGGCTACCTCTCTGCATTCTTTCCTCTTGCCAGTGGCTCCCAGCTTATGGACCACTCCAACTCACGTGGGAGGGCGCCCCTCTTTAGTCACGTGGCTCCCAACCAGAACAGCTCTCAGTGGGGTGAGGGAGCGGGTGGTGGAGGGGCGCCGGGGCTGTGGTGCGGCTCAGAATGACTAGGAGGGGGTGTCGTTTGGTAAGCCGCCCTCTTCCCCACCTCGCAGGCCTCACAGATCCACGCTGAGAATCACTGGCCTTTAGGGGTGGCGGGGCAACATAAAAGCCTGAGCAGGGAATCGGGGGCCTGAGGCCCGGGAGCATTTCCACATTTTAACAAAAGGTCTGGGCCGAACAGTCCATGACCAGACCCTGGACTTCTCTGTCTCCTGGGCCTCTTGGGAAGAGCCCTTTCCCTCACTGGCATTAAGCCAGCCTCTTCCAAGTTCGCAGACTCTGGTATGGCCAGGTGGCAAACTCACGCAGACATGGTGACCAAAAGGGGTGGGTCTTGTCGTAGAGATGGTCCGATGAGCCCCGGCAGGAGGAGCTGAATCTCACGGGTCTATAGGGCGCCTCGCCTCCACTGAGGCGCCAGGGCGCCCACTGCCTCCCCCTGGGTTCTCTCCCTCAGCTTCTACCTCTTCCATCCTCTGGCGTATGGGATGGTTGGTCCGCTAGCCCAGGACCCCCGAAGTCCGATGGCCGGACTAAGGTGGCTGGAATCATGGGACTTTTGAGGCCACTGCAAGGACTCCAGCCTGGGTCCAGGAACTTCCTGGGGACAACCAGCTGTGGAGCCAGTCCCTGGACCCTCCCAGCTGTGGAGGAAGCTGCCTGAGGAGCCCACGGAATTCTGCCACCTGCCAGGACCACGCCCTGGGAGCATACCCGGAGTGTAAGCCACTAGAGAGGGCCATGGCTCTGCTCTAACCGCAGCGGTTCCTCCGCTGGGGCTGGCTCAGCAACAGGCGACAACATCTCTCAGGCCCGTTTCCCCGAGTGTGCAGCATGAGGAGGGATGTGCGAGAGGGTGGGTGTGAGTGTGTGGGGGAGTGTGCGTGTGAGGGTGCGTGTGTCCATATACCTGCGGAAGATAGACCGTGACTGTGGACAGCTGAGTGTCATAAACTCTAAGAAATCGTCCAGGGCTACAGCAGTGTTCTCTGGGGTTTTTTTTCACACTGGATTTGGTTTGTAAGATTCATCAAAAATTCTCAGACCTCCAAGAAGGCTGAAAGCACTGACCCCACCTTGGGATGTCACCAAGGGCAGAGAAGATGGTATTGTCACGGCTGTGCTGCCCTCCTTCCCACACATAAGCAAATACAGCTGAGGCCCCTGAGCTGGAGGGCCCGCCTCCCAGCTGCTTCCCCATGTGGCTGCTGCCGGGAAGTCTCCTCTGCGCCCGCAGGAGGCTGGACTTCTGCCTGCGATGTGCGCAGAGGACTGGGCCCCAGAGCGAGGCAGCTGAGGACTCACCAGCCCTGTTGGCCCTCCTCAGCCCTTGGTTCCTCGCTGTCTGAGAACGTCACATCACGAGGTTGGTGGGAGGGATGGCACCCTGTCCTTGGCTACTGTGTGTTCTCAGGCCCTGTGAGCCAGAGGTGATTTCTGGCTGCCCATCCCTTACCCTCTGCATCCAGCCTGACTGTGAGGGTGGGCCCGATGCATTCTCCTGATTGCAGGGAGAGCCTTTGGGGCCCCTCTCTTAGCAGCTGAGGTGGATGTGTGGCAGCGCAGGGATGTGTATGGTGCTGGGCTGGGGTCCCAGCAGGGCGTCGGGGTGTGGGCTGCCTTAGCCTTTCTGGGCTGGTGTTCCTGTCACTCACTAAGCTTTCCCCAGTTTTACTTCTCTAGTCCTCCCCTGCTGACAGCCCCCCTCCCTTTCACTTCATTTCCCTTACTCTGTGTCACTGTCTCACCAACCTCTTTTTCCCCAAAGACCCAGAGCACCTAGAAATGCCTTGGAGCTTCTCCTCTCTACCACTTTGAAGCCCAAGCAAGAAGCTCAGAGCTGTTCCTTTTACTTCCTCCCCATATGAAAGAGATAAAGAAAACCCTTGGGTTGGAACTGAACAAACCCAAGGCCAATCCTTCAGCCGGCTTCCGTCCTCCCAGTGCATGACAAGATATTATTTTGTCTCAGAGAGCTGTCATGCTTCAAGGTTTAATGATGCATCTCTGCCACACTCCCATCTTTCCTCCTCTGTAGCCCCCACCAGCTCTGACAGGGTCAGAGCTCTTTAGAGCATCTTTGCTAGGCGGTTGCCGCGGAGACTGGAAATTGGTCCCAAGGACAGGCTGCGCTACGTACTGGGTGGTGGGGAGGGAAGCTTCTGGCCATGCTTGGATGTTCAGACCAACCATCATTAATGTTAATTGAGGAAATGCAGCAATGTCAAAAGCAAGGCAGGTGCGTTAATTAGATCTGGGGCCTGATGACCTCCCTTTCCCAGGGCTGCAGCCCTTTTGACTTCCCCCAGCAGGAAGCGCTGCCGGGTGCTGAGTCTGGGCTGCTTGCTTAATTGAATTTCTGGAAGGGAAGGAGAACTGGGATGGAGAACCTCCCGCTCTCCCCTCCTCCCCCGCTTCTCCCTTTCTCTGCCCCCGGCCAATTTCATTTCTTCTGAGCTGGGTGGGGGCAGCCATCTTGGTGGGCTCTCCTGGAGGTGGAATTCAGGAACCTGTGCTTGGCTCTTAGCAAAGAACAACGGCCCCACGATGACAACCGGAAGGTGGCTGATGTTCCCTTGTGCCTTATTTCCTGATAGGAACTTGTTGGAAGGGAGGTGCTCTGAAGGCAGCCACTCTGAGTGAGGGTGAGGAAGGAGAAAGCTCAGCCAGCTTCCTGCCCATCCCTCCCTCCTAATTTGGCCACACTGGGGACAAAAGTTTCCTTTGTCTCTTACACTGCTTTCCAAAGATGGGGAAGAACTGTCCGCCCACTCCCTCCTCCTCTTCCTTTGCCCAGACTGGCAGACACTTCTCTGGGGACAAGGCCGCATGGGTTGATGCAGCTTCAGGTGCTCAGGTTCTGTTGTTGGAAGATGCTGAGGAGAGGGGCTGTCGTGGTGGTGCTCTGAATATGGGCTCCAGCCCCCAGGAGCAGGCAGAATGTGACACGCCCCACAGACTTGCTGGCGGAGGAAGGAGACGTTTGTTAGCTCAACCTCCAGCCAGCTTCTTGAACGACATTTTATATTAAAAAAAACTTTCCACAGATAATCAGAGGCTGTTTACTTTTGTAACAAATAGCGCTTATTTTGAATGCCGTGTTGTTCTTGTTGTACTTAATTGAACCTGACTTGCCCTCTGGCTCCCAGAAAGAAGAGAAGAATGTTTTGAGTGCCGGAACCATTCCATTGTGTCTGGAGTCTAAGGCCATTCTAATTCCAGCAGAGGCCCTGGGCTAGGCAGTCGAGCCTGATTACACCAGGGAACATTTAGGCCCTCTCATGGATAAGGTTACTTGAGTAATGTTGGTTGTTATTTTGATTTATTTAAACTTATTCTAAAATAAGTAGGAAGCTGGACCTTTTTCCCTTTTAACCTCCTCACACAAGTATAGAAAGGAATGAGAGAGAGAGTAACGGTTGTCCACTTCTGAGACAGCTGAGTGGCCCAGCATGGTAGCAGCAATATCCATTCTGCTTACAAAGAGGCCCCCATCTTTTGTTTTGTTTTATTTTGGTTTGTTTTTTTTTGTTTGGTTGGTTGGTTGGTTTTTGGCCGCACCATGTGGCCTGCGGGATCTTAGTTCCCTGACCGGGGATCGAACCTGTGCCCCCTGCATTGGAAGCACGGAGTCCTAGCCACTGGGCCGCCAGGGAAGTCCTAGAGGCCCCCATCTTGACAGGGGTCATCTGTTATCAGGAGTCATGTTACGGGTCCAAAGGAGGTAAGAGCTGACATGTTTTGGACAGAAGCTGAGGGAGGAGAGGTGTCCACTGCACTGTGAAACTGGGGACCTTCTGGGCTGTCTGACCGGCCTCCTTCTTAGAACCGAGAGTAGCTGGAGGTGAGAGACAGGGGATCCTGCAGATCCTCAGGAGATGGAACTGCCGAGAATAGGCAGATTAGAAAAGGACCAAATGCTTCTTGACTGGCACAGCTTAGTTTACCAACTCATGATGCATCTGTGACACTGAATCCTCATAAAGGCCCAGTGAAGTCAGTGCTGTTTTTGTCCCCATTCCACCCAGGAGAGATTCATTACTAATTGCCTGATTAGTAAATAGTAGAGCCAGGACTAGGTGCTGAGTTGGGCTTTTTCTGCTTCTCCAGCCTGGTCCTGGGACTAGGGAGCGCCTGCCCAGGACAACCTGGATCCCCTGCGGAAAAGGCTTAGACTCAGATTAGCACGTTCCTTTGTACCCTCTGCCTAAAGCATCGATAGCTCATCCAGGGCCCAGTGTTTCCTGGTGCACCCAGACCAGTGGTTTGCTGGGAGGAAAAAAGCCCTGATGTGTAGTATATGCCAATTTCATGGTGTATATACTCCACCATGGCCTCTTTCAGGCTACCAGCCTGATGTTCCTGAGTGAGAAGCTGGAAAGGTGAGCACAGTTGGCTGTCACAAGCCATCTAAAGAGCCAGCTCTGACACACCTTTGACCCAGACCCAGTGATCCTGGCTTGGTCTGAACTTTGGGCACAGCTCTTGGTCACAGTCCGTTAGAGTGAGGAAGGTAGTGGAGCACGGAGGCCCACTGGAGGTGCCAGGGTCAGTCCAGAGGTCAAATCCTGGCCCTACCACTTACTAGCTATGTGACCTCGGGCCAGTTACTTAACTTCGTTGCCTCCGTTTCCTCAACAGTAAAACGGGCTATAATACATAGGATCTACTTCACAGAGTTATTATGAGAATGAAAAAAGTTAATGATGCAAAGTCCCTTGCACAGTGTCTGGACATGGATGCTCAATAAATGCTAACCCTTTACTGTTGGTGATAAATCGGCCTCAGTGACAGCACTGGCTCTAGAACAACACTTGAACCCTCTCCTCGATTAGAACCTCCTGCCCAAGTTGTGGGCAGATGCCAGGGAGGGGAGCTCTGGTGACTTTCCCCCAGCCCCTCAAATGTGGAGTCAGACCCTCTGTCTCCTGGCTGGAATACACCACCCTGACTGCTTAGGCCCAGCCAGGTTCTTGGGCCTTTTCACCAAGGGGAGCGGAGACTAGAGTGTACTCAGCTCTCTCCTCCTACCTCCTGGCTCTAGAAAGGCAGAGTGAGTGCTGGCTTCACCACTTACTAGCTAAGGCCATCAACTCATTAACCTATCAGACTCCAGACCATGCCCAAAGGAGAAAACAGGCAGGGAGGGTCCTGAGTATAGACTGTTGCCAGGAAGTGCAAACTGGGTGGCGTGGGAAGCCTTAGACAAGCCAGGTGGCCTGGAGCACTGGGCATCTGGGCACTGAAAGGTAAAGGTCGCCAGAGATATACGTGGTTTTCCCCTGTGACCTGCTGACCTGGCTGCAGGGCCATGGGACACCAACCTGGGAGTCCAATCCCTGAGCACCCCGGCCTTCTCCCTTCAGCCCCCAGGCCCTTTGTGTTCTCACGTGGGGATCTCCTGGACTCCTTAGGACACAAGCCAGGCTGCCTTACAGCTCTGCTCCCCTGCTCCAGCCCAGAGCCCCCCGAGATGCGGGGAGGGATGGGGAAGAGAGGAATAGGGTAATATTCCTATATTATTAGCTAAATTCCTAATAGCTCTAAACTCTCGAGTCCCCAG